AGGATCTTGCAGAACAACCGTTTTCAACCGTTTTCAACCGTTTGTCTGCATTCTTCAGGATGCCACTTCTGGAATCTCTCCATCTGCACCCCGTGTGCCACAGCAAGGAAACAGCAAGCGCTCTTATGGCTGAGGCGATATGATCAGTCTGGGCTCATCGAGCAGGCTTCCCGTGCTGTTGCCAAGCAGGTTGATCCCAGAGGATGCTTCTAGCAACTAGGGGGTAAAGGAGTTGCGCAACTGTGTTGCTTGAACTCTTTATTAAGATAACTCACAGTAGTGCACGCAAGTCGACACAAGTGCGCTGCACGCATAAGCATAAGCCAGCGCCGTGTTGTGAGTTATACTAAATACCAAGTTTTCTTCTCGTTGTATTTCTAAGGTGGTGTTGATTAGCACTGCTATTACTTTTCACCTCAGTGCATTGTTGTCATTCTGCTGCTGCTGCTGCTGCTGCTGCTGCTGCTGCTTCTTCAATAGTCGTTTTTCGTTGTCTGTCATTAGGATTTTTGCCATCATTGTGAGCAAAGTGATATTGTGTTTATGTTGAGTACTGTTGATGTCATTATCGTTGCTCTTACTGTCACGGTTGTCATTTTCGATGTTGGTAGTATCTCGACATCGCTATCGTCACAATTGTGGTCTGTTATTTGATCCTAACGTGTGGTCTTCTCGTTGTTGTTAGAGTTGCCATTATTGTGATTTTTGTTGCTATAGTTATTGTTGCGCAGTTTCTGTTGTCATTCCTGCTCTGTTCCTGTGCAGGTAGTTGTCATTGGCATTTCAAGTAGTATTTATTTGTTGCTCTCTCTCTCTCTCTCTCTCTTCTCTTTGTATCTTTTCGCTGTCTTTCTCTCTGTCTCTGTCTTTCCCGTTGCGGAAGAGATCGGAATCTCCCCCGCCCAGCCCAAGCATGCCAGCCACCAAATCTGCGTGCAAGATTCGTGTAGATCACACATGCCCTAGAGCACGAATTCGATGGGTCTGGGATTCTCTTTCTTAAAACAGATAATTCCCATCCCGTGCTTTGACCCAGTATGGTCAAGAGGCCCGCATGTGGCAGTAAACGAGGTAAGAGGCATTGCGGGCTGGCAGTGCCCCGACTTCGTTTTGAACGTGCGCTTCTTCTCATGCACAGATCGATGTACCTGGGCAACGCAGGTCGAAATGCTCGAGGGCATCTGCGTTGAAGACTCAGCAGATGCGACAGACATCGTGACTACCGAAGGAAATTGCGCTGGTTCATCTGATAGTCTGATGTTTGCGTTTCTGAAACAAGATGAGTGTCGACATGCAAGTTCAGGGGGCTTTCCTCCCCACATGTGGGTGTTGACAATATTCTGGGTACCTTACTGGGGTCCTTATTGAAAGGGAATCCTATTATTTGGGGGTATATTCGGGGTCCCGATTTTTCGTAAACCCCACATGTCGTCCAGAGTGTAATCTCAGAATGCCGTTATGTGGCCCCACGTGATCTCACATTGCCTCTCCCCAAAAGGCGCAGCATGGCCTACTGCAGCAAGATGCAGAAGTGGCGCCTTGAAGCAGAATTCAGAGCAGGTTTCGGGCTTACGGTTTAGGGTTTGGGTGTCTTGAAGGACCCCCAAATTCTTCCGTGGGTTACCTATATAGGCGAACAGCTATCGGAGTCTTCGAACTAGATGGGTCGATTTGTCTCCGCCCCCCTGTAAAAGAATAGGAGCACTTTTTTCGCGTCCATGTGATATTGCCGGCTTAGTCTTGCAATAATCCCCGGAAGCCCTAAATCCCGACACACTGGGCCAGTGCCTGCCTACTGCTGCCTGAAGCCTTAAGCCCAAAGGTTTCTGACGATGTCTCATCAGAGGGCAGCTCCGAGTCCGTCTGAGCCCGGGGCTCACCGTTTTACACTCGGCGTTGCTGCTTCAGAAGCACAGATTAAGAGAGAGACATGAGTCCAGTAGTGATCTGAGGCACTTCGGGGCATTGGCAAGATTTCGGCAAGTTCACAACGTTAGCGTGTCCGAACTTTGGACGCTGCATTGTGCGTCGACAATGCTGATTGGCCAGTGCACTGAGAAGTGATGTGCCTGTTGTGTAGGATGTTGATATTCGGGATATCCGGTATCCGGTGTCCAGGTTCTCATTCCATCAGCCGCCATGTATGCACACGGATCTGTCTATCCACGACAATGGCAAATATGAGCTATCCGACTATCCCGAACCCATCGAGAGTGTGATTATGGAGTTAGCAGTGGGCGTGGACTGGTGAAGATGCCAAGCTGCACTTAAGCCGCCACATATCAACATCCAGAGCCTTTGCGGTTGAGCAGTGTGTCGGAGCTCAACCTCAAACTAGCAAGGATGAGTCTCGGAGGTATGCATCCGACAGTTGGGCCATTTGCCAGCAAGAAACCATAAAGTCTGAGGTTAGACCCAATTCAGCCAGCAGGGTTTAGACAAGGTGTGCAAACCTTGACCTCAAGGATTGGAGACTCAGACTTGGAGATGAATTCCATTGCACTACGCAATGACAGATTAATGAAAAACATTTGCGGCAGCCTTGCAAGGAAGCGTCGGGTTATGTTGAGCCCAGGCGACTAAGACGTGATTAGTCTTCCATATCGTCCCTTGCAAGGATATTGCTGTCAGTTTGGTTTAATGCCTCTATGTTTTGATGCCCGTGGAAGAGTCATTCTCAGCCCTCGCAACGATCGCTTTCTGACTTGGCCGCATCGCCTGTGTGTTGTCCAGGGCATCGAACTGCAATTCGTGCATGCCTTCCGCGCTGCCTTGCAGATGGATTCAGGGGAGGCTGGTAGTATGATCCCTTGTGCTTTCTGGTAGCTTACTAGGCTCCTGTTGCACCAGTCAAGGGCCTGTCCCTGTCTTGGCGCGTGGCAATGTCTCGCAGATCCCAGCATGTCACTGCCAGCGTGCTGCTAGGCGGATCAAAATTCAAGACATGCAATCATGAGGCGAGTAGTACCGTAGAGCCGTAGAGCCAGTTCCAGTCAGGGGTTGTTGACAGATACGACTAGCAGGTAATGCAACCTTACACGACATCTTCTTCTATTTGCCCCGGTTTCGCCGGCCGTGCTTCATCACGTTCCTACGTTCATGTTGAGCAGGGGTTGCCATTCGGACCCTCAAGCTGTGCCAGTGGCAAGCTGTGGCAAGCTGACAGCGTTGCAACATCGAGCTCTGCCTCTTCAATAGGTTCTGATCTCCCGCTGCCACTTCCAGAGTTTGTGGGAAGGGCCCCGCACCAGTGAAGCTGGGCTCCAGGGCCACGTTTCAAGGCTGGGCTGGGATGGGTTTGCGGTTTGGGCGGTTTAGACTTTTAGGGCTGGAGGCTTTGGTTTCAGGGTTGAGAGTAGAGAATCCGAAAGCCGTGGAACTAGACCCTAAAACTCTAAACCTGAAACCGCAAATGGAACCGCCAGCGCCGGACTCGAGAAATTGATCCCTATACCCTAGACTACAAAGGCTTCACCTTCTTGCACATGATGGGGCTCTCTGTTGTTTGTGTTTTGATGGCCAGGGTTTGGGTTTTAAAGGTTTGTCCCCTGAATCCTTTAGCCCGTTTGGAGGATGGCATCCACCGACCCGCGGAAGATCGCGGAGGACTGGCTTCCTCGTATCGGGAACTTTCTGTGGCGTGGGGGTAGTGTTGTGGTGTTTTTTTTTTAACGTCTCAGGAGGGGTTGGGGCTTTCGGACTTAGGGCTGTTGGCCAAGAGGTGTTTAAGTCCAGGGTTGGGTGTGGAGGCGAGGGCTTTCAACGACGTGCCGCGCGAGGTCCGTGATGTGCACAGACTGGAGAGAATCGGCAGGAGCCTGAGGAATGCCAGTGTCTGCTTTCAGGGCAATCTTCACATCCCGGCCCATGGTGGCCGCGTTCTCCGGTTGCGTTTACTCTGATGGGCCGGCAAAAACCCGCTAAAGCAATATTCCCAGCGTTGCTGAAGTGAGTTTAAAGAGAGCAAAGAGGTTGAACAGCATGAGAAGAAGAGCAAGAGCAATGTGGAAATCACGTGGTGCAGTCCCTTCGGGATAGCTGTGGTTTTGCTTTGTTGACTGGATGCCGGTGCTTGTTCTCTCTCATTTCCAGCCTTCTTGGTGCTTGGGGTGCTCGATGGGTGAAAGGCTGAGCGGGAGGGATCCCTATCTAAGCCCCAGGCGCTATCTTGTTGCAATCGCCGTGCTTTTGTTTGTTCTCAGTTGCTCTGGTTTCAGTCGCATTTGGTTTTCATTTTGATTTCGTTTGACGTTGGGTGCATTCTCACTTCACTGTAATTTTGTTGATTCTCATCTACTTTGCATGCACTTGCCAGGTGGAGCTTGCAAGGGTTTTGGGACTTAGCAGGCAGCAGAACACCTTCAACTTGCATGGTTAAGATCTGCCATGATTTGCCAGTGTCCCCTCTCTACCTGCGCTAACCTGTAGGCATGTACGGGCGTGTGATGTCCACAGCGAGCTGCTCTGCGCTTCCCATGGCTGTTCTGACCTCTCAAGGGCCCTAAATGAAGCCCACAACTCCCCCTAAAGTGCTTAAAAACCCACCTAAACCTCAAGCCCCTTGCTTTGCAAAACTCCCCTAAAGCTCCTTAGGCCCCGCCATAAACGTTCGTAAACCCTGAAACCCCAAGGCGCCCATTCGCACATCCGTGGCCTTGGCCTGGATGACGCTCTGGACGCACGCATGGTCTCGCAGGCCCGGCAAGAAAGACGTGGGGGCGATGGCCTGAAGCACCCAACCTTGCTACGTGGGGCTATCTCAAGGATGACTTGAAGCTTACATGCACATGATCGGTTTATGTTTGTTTTGTTCTAACCCTTGAGAATTCCGCAGGTGAGTTGAGGTTTAGAGGTTGTGGGCTGAAGCAATCAGCAAACAAGTCTGGTTTCTCAACTGCCTTTAGTGCTCAGGATGGTTTGGGATCCATGGGCAGTACGTGCGCTAGACATGAGGGTTGGCCACCGGCGAGCTTGGACTTGCGCTCCCCCCTTGCCAGGGCATGGTTGGCCAAAACTCAGCCAGGCAGCCTCTGCAGTCTCGGTCTTTGGGCAGTGCCTTTGTCATGTTTTTGAGCTGCAGGGATCTCAACCAGGGTAGTGGTCATTGCCCAGCCACGCCACGCTGCTTTCCTGAAAAGGCGAGCTGCGGGCGTGATTTTGTCCATGATCCAGGACGGCCTTTTGACAGCTTGTCCATGCTGTGATCTGATGTGTGGCTGTGGTGCGTGCACATGGTGGCAACACTTGGGACAGGAAGAAAAAATTGCCGGGAGAGCCGTCCTGATTGCTGGCCAGCCAGGAACTGGCAAGACAGCCTGAGTCTAAGAAATGATGTCTGCGTCAAGCTAGGGTCTCTTTAATGCATAGTTTGTCTAGTAGAATCGCTTGCAACAAAGGACTTTCTCAATAGGCACCCCCACCCCCTATGTAGCATCCCCCAATGAACATGTTTGCTTGCCCTGTCCTAGTCACTCCAGGATAACCTTGAGGGTGTGAGAGTCGCTGAGGCCATCGCAATGGGCATGGCCAAGGCAGTGTTCTGTGCCGCAAGTGGCGTCAATCACCCTAAGAGATCCTAAGAGCTTAGAGGCTGACACAGACCTTCATTTCAGCGCATGGCAACTGGCGATTGCGTGCGCGAAGGCACTGGGCGATGACACGCAGAGCACTCAGCACATGCAGAGACTTGGAGGATGCGACAACTGAGGATGTCATGCAGGAACCTCTGGCTTCAGTTTTCTGTATCCTGGATTTGCTGTGTGCAAAGGCCCTTCACCATGCTAGCGGGCTCGGAGATCTTCTCACTGGAGATGTCCAAGACTGAGGCCCTGACGCAGGCCGGCTGAGCCGTGGTATTCCTTGGCAATGCATGCGGCCTCTGGAGTCAGTTGTCACTTGTCAATGTCGAGGCTTTTCGAAGGTCCATCGGCGTCCGAATACGAGAAGAAGCCGAGATCATCGAAGGAGAGGCAGGGACACGCAAGAGTTCACGAACTTGCAAACCTCACCCGCCAATCTTGATCGACCCCCTCAGGTCGTAGAGATCGAGATCGAGCGCCCGGCGAATGGCCAGGCAGCGACCTTCGGTGAGCCTGGCGCCTCTTCCGATGAGACGATGTTTTTTGGCCTTCCTATCGGTCTTCAGGATGGAAAGGATTTCAATCTTTTCTATGATTCTATGAGTTTCCTTCATCTTAGCAAGCCTGTGCTTGCTGCAGCCTTTCTGCGTTTTGGCGAGCGTTGCAGTGATGCACAGCTTGCCAGGCAAGATGACCTTGAAGACAACAGAGATGGAGACCATGTATGATCTCGGGTGCTCCTGCCTGATCGGATTTCCATACTGGCTGCTGGTTCTGCGCTTCGAGCTTTCGTAGCCTGAGAAGCACTCTCAAATCGGATGGTGAAGACTGCCTGTTACAACAGGTCTTTGTCATAGGAACTTCTGGCGCCAGGCAAAAGATGATCGAGACCATCCAGAAGGAGCAGATTCAGGCTTGCTGATGTCTAATCCCTTGGGGTTGGACGTGGCAAGGAGCCTCTAGAGCGGCATGGTGTTTGAAGTCGTACTGTGCGACATGGTACAGTCTGGCAATGCCGTTCCTGCATGGCAAAGTCATTCCTGGAGGCTGGGGACATCATCACAATTGATAAGTCCTCTGGCAAGATCTCGCTTCTGGGTCGATCTTTTGCCAGGCTCGGCCCTTAATCCTGCACCCCTGGAATTGTCATAGGGATCCCTCGGAGACAAGCGCACCTGAAAAAATCGCCATGGTGGCCGTCATTCCTTCATCCGAATTCTGAGAGAGTGGGTTCCAGGTCACGTGACTACGATGCCATGGGTCCTCAGACCCGCTTCGTGCAGTGCCCCGAGGGCGAGCTCCAGAAGCGAAAGGAGGCAGCAAAGCTTCGACGACCGCATCGGCGCCTGTCGTTTCTCAATTTGAGCGCCATTGAATAGCTCTAGCGAGTGGAACGATACCCCTCGTCACAGCACATGGGATACGCGTGCGTTCCTGTTCGTTCTGTCAGCAAGCACGACTATTGTGACGTATTGTCTCGTTGAAGGATCTCTCGCATCATTTAGTAAGAAAACAGAGCATATTTGCTTTTGTGGTGAATGCCATCGAAGCTACCTTGCAAGTTATCCTTGTGCACCTGTTTTTTTGTCGGAAGGTGGTGCACACCGTGAACCTTCACGAGATCGATGTCATCAACAGTGTGGCTCCTAGATTCCGAGCCTTTCTCGATTTTTCGTTTTAAAGGGATGTGAGTATGTCTGTGAGCATGCCGCTCCTTCACAGCTCCGGTTGAGTAGTCCTGCCCATCAAAAGTTGTAGCTAACATATCTTGCAGACAGGCCGGCAGCAGGGCTTTCTGGCTCTCTTCGCCGGCGATACCGGTGAGATCAAGCACGAGGCAGGGAATGGGGGACCAGTGCTTCAACAATCTGAAAAACGGCTGTCATGCCCCTGCAGGTTCGGGAGCAGATAGATGCCAAGGTCGCCGAGTGGCGTGAAGAGGGCAAGGAGGGGCCCGAATGCCAGTATGTCACAGAGTTTGGAAGAGCTGCGCTCCGTATGGTGGTGTTGTGTTTGTTGTGTTCAGTAGCAGGATTCTTGGTGGTGGTGGTGGTGGTGGTGGTGGTGTGAGTCTTGTAGTATCGTGACCAGGCAGACATCGTGCCAGGAGTGCTCTTCATCGACGAGGCGGGAAGAATGCAAGCTCAACCACGCTTAAACTTCGCGGTGAAACAGTTAAACTGCACAGGCAGAAATTCCAGAGTCCATGTTCGTAGGTTTTTTGGGTGAAAAAGCGTGTGCCATCCTGGAGGTGCACATGCTGGACATCGAGTGCTTCTCCTTCCTGAACAGAGCGCTGGAGGTCTGAATGGGGACAATGTGACCATCAATACATCATTTGACTCATCAATGGACATCAAGTCCAGACTAAGTTCAGTTGCCTTCCCAAGTTGCAAGACGCTTCTTCTGCTTTACCTTTTCGTGAATGAAATTTGGGCTCATTCAGATGCAACTTGAGTACACAACCATCACATCAAACTAGTGAGCACCTTACCACCCCAGACTCTTTTGACTACGAGCATGGCTCGGCTACGTTTTGGGTGTAGAAGCTGCATCTTTGACGCCAGAAGTAAACCTTCCTGTTGTGCCATGCCTCTCTTTGGAAAGAAGAAGAAGCAGGATTCCAAGTCAGTGTCCCGCTCTCAGCTTCCCATGGACTCCGGGTCGAGCCCCACGAAAGAGTTGCGGCATCTTTTAGCAGCCTTCCTCATTCTAGTGATGAAACAACTCGTCGTAGGCGCGGCTTCCAGTTTAAGCGCAGCTGACTCAACATTCCCTTTTTTCCTCTCACTATCTCAAAATATGAGAGAGAGAGAGGGAGGGAGGGAGAGAAAGAGAGCTGCAGGCCGAACCTTCCAAAGGTGGACTTCGCTTTGACGATTGCCTGCCGCCCGGCAGAGAGAGCTCTTGGTGCTGTTGGCAGCTCCCCTGTGAAAAGTTTGGAATAGTGTGGTCCTGTCTTCGCGGTGGTGGTGGGGGAATCTCGGTCGGACGGCCGGATCTTTTCGGAGTCCTCCACCTTTCCGTGCTGGGCACCATCTGCACGAGCTTCGACAAAGTCTTCTGCACTTGCCTTCTCGAATGCCTCCTTATTCTCCTCTTCATGTAGTTCTCATGGCTTTCGGTGAGGCTTTTCTTTCCTGGTCGTGGACACAGCCACTCAGTTGCAGCAGCAGCGGCAGCAGCAGCCTCTTTTGTGTACATCTAGACAAGCCGTTGTGTCAAAGGGTCTAAAATCCCGTGTCGTCTGTGTCGATGTTGAAAGCACAGGCGCTATTCACAAGCTATGAAGGGGTTCACGTCGTTGTGGAGCTGGCTTTGCATCTTGGCTGCTCAGAGCTTGTTTCAGCTGCTGTTGCTGTTGCTGCCATGCTGCGAAGCTGTAACTCGCAGGTACATGGTGGTGACTGCTGTAGCAATCGCAGCATGCAGCTTGGATGCAGTGAGTTTAGTAAAGGCAGAAAGAGTGTAGCGAATGAGGGAATTGCATTCGTCATCTCCTTGATTATTGAGCCCAGGTCGCGCTACAGCTACTGCTCTGGGCACGGCACTGTCCACAAAGGAGGCAGGCGTCCTTTTGATCCCGTTTTGAGCGGGCTTTGCAAAAGCTCCCAAGCCCCTTGCACAAATGTTTGCAACTGGCCAGTGAGCTGGTCAGCTACTTGTACAGTCGCCATCGGCATCCATCGGCTGTTGCTTCACTGCGCACGCCCGACCTTGGACCCTAACATGCAACTGAGCTCCAGGCACTGGGCGCTCCTCGCCACTTGGCACAGTTGTCATGGTGAACCAGAGCTGTGGCGGAACACGATATCTTGTGCCTTTCTTTGAGTGCGTGCTCGTGTCGATTCTTTCCGCGCACCCCGACCCGGCGTTCCTTTCACCTTCTAGCTGATCTATCGCATTGCGCATCCTGTGATGTCCTGCAGCCCGCTGGACTTAGGAAACCTGCGCAAGTTTTCGGACCAGTCCTGGCAGCTGGTTGTGCACGTGCTGATGACTGTCTACGCTCCTTGTACGTTTGAAAACGTGGTAGATGTGATATCAGATATCAGTCTTCTTTGTTGAGCACATGCCAGGCTTGGAACCAGGGCTTGTAGCACTGGAACGATTTCGGCAACTCTACAGTGGTATCCTCAATCGTGGCACATGAGCATTCATTGGTTGCTGTTTAAGGAAGTCATGCTATTCCAAAGGAATGGTGCAGCTCCCAGAGCATACACGGCAATGTGGGATGCGGGAAGGGAAGCGACATTGCGGGACATCATGGGACTTGAAAAGTTGGAGCTTCTGCTGAGGCTGGGAGTGGTGGAACGACACCACGAGTCTGAGCCGAACATGATGCAATGCACGTCTGGTATGCCTGAGTCATGTGGCCACGAAGTCTTCCCTAGTTCGACTGTATCAAACAGGAACTCTCACAGCTGCTGTTCCAGCTCCGACTCTAATGCGGTTCGAAGCTCGGGCCCGCGGTTTTTCCGCCCTGACAAGGACACTCTGGGACCGTCCCTGGCAAGACAGCGGCCATGCGTCAATGAAGTGGACTTTTGTTCTTGCTTAAGATTCCCAGCGCGCGGGTGAGCATCGAAGGTTTGGGCTTCAACCCAAGCTGAGACGGCTCGTTAAGAGTCATATCAGCGTGTCAGCACTAGGTACAGTCGGCACTAGACTCACTAGACGGAATTCGATCGCTTGTCTCTGCCGTTTTGAAGCTTTCAACCAAGCAGGTCATAAAGTCTCATGGCTTGAGAGCTACGGGTTTCGAGTTTGTTGTCTGGGCCCGGCTGGCCACTCCTTTCGGAAGCCCAGGTGGAGGGTGCCCGGCAGACCTCCGCACGCTGTACATTGCGCAGCTGGCCATCTGGCCCCTGGGAGAGGATGTTTTTGGATGGGCGCGCTCAGAGTGGCATCATGCTTCCCACCCACCGGCCCCACTGTGAGTGACAGAGCTCGGCTGAAGTCCGGCTAAGGTTTGTGACCTCCTTCTCGCACAAGTTCATAGAAGCCAAGCACAATGACTACTTTGATGCTCGTCCGAATGGCATTGGGTCAGAGATGCAGGGCATCAGCCTTCATTGGTGCCTTGTCGTTAACAGGTTTGTAACTCTCAGGTGATGTATGGGCACCACGTCGCCACCCTGGGCTTGGTTTCCCTCTCCTACTTCAATGGCTGGCAGCCCATAGGCGCGGGGGCTTAGTGCTTAGCATCTACAACATGATATGTTAACTATATGCTATATGCTATTTAACTGGCTCTGTCTTATATACTATTTATCATGTATCTTTCCTGCCTTTCGTGTCTTTCGGCCTTCTTTGTGGTTCCTGCTGCCAGGCCTGAGCACACTCTTCATCCACGACTCTTCAGACATCATCGTGGACCTGCCCTTCTGCTTCACGTTTCGGGGGGCTTTGCCAATAGCTTTGCGAATGCCAGGTGAAATATGTCTTATCGAATTGGCAGCTACACCACTAGCCCCTTGAACACGTCTAATAGCTGCGCCTGTGCGTTGCCTTGCTCCCACTCCGCGTCCCCCCTGCAGCTCCTCACCTGCGGGTTTGGGAACTTTCGGGATACTCAAGCTACCCAGCCACGGTTTAAGTGATAAAGTAGGCTTTACGTCGCCCGTGGGAGTGTGGGAGTAACGTGAGGCTCAAGATGGTGAACTATCTCGGGTATGATGCCTGGTTGCAAGATGTAACCTTGTTTGAGCCATCTTGAGCCCTGAAGCTCGGGTCGAAGCTGAGGATTCCAAAAGCGGGCTCTTCCTGGCAGAGGGCTTCTTTGCCGTCAACCTGGTCACCTGGTTCCTGATGCGCAGCTGGGATTCAGATTGAGAGCGGGTGCTGCCACAGCTTGACGCTCTACCACTTCGCACGACATGGCGCGCGCCGTCTTCACCCAGGTACTTATTTCTTCATCTTGAAGGTCATCAGGCCAGACATGGCCAGCTGAATACGACTAGGGAGTGCGGCTGAAGTCGGTCAGGTTAATCGTCCCAACGCGGGTCAGGGGAGAGGATGCCAGCAGAAACACAAGACTCGTAGCCTAAGTGCGAGGTCAACCATCCATGAGTCCATGAATGTGAGCTAGAAGTCTGAGCTTTGTCTGCGTGGTTTTGGTTGGTATCGAGCTTTGCAACATGTCGCGGCGAGATGCCTCTGTCGCGGAGGTCAACTATCCCAAAGGATATGTTCGCGCCCGGATGGGGTCACCTGGCTCTGCAATCCTCGAAGACAGATTTGCGACGACATGTTGCAGCATCTTAAGAAGCCGCCGTGAGTCGAAGCTTGTTCAGCTAAACATCGCCGTTTAGCTGTGTAGCCCTGGCTGCTCAGCTGCAGCTGATCTGCGGCAGGTGACTACAACCGTAGCGCGCCGCTGATCAGCCCTCAGAATGCTTGTCGGCTGTTGCTACTCGTCCTTGGACTGATGCACCTGCAACTTGGGCTGCAACTACCGAGACTTTGGGTAGTGCAGAAGCGGCAGAATATATTTTATACAATTCATGCCCACATAAAATTGATAAATCAGATAAATTAGCTTCATGGAATGTAAATGATATACCTATACTAAATGGTTCACATTTAGATATAGTATATTCAACATATTGATCATTCATTAAGTAATCATCTAATTCATTAACACTATCATTTAAGTATAATCTTTTCAATAAATTCAATGCATTGAATATACTTTCATCCGTTGTATAATATTTATACTCCGCTCCACCACCTATACACGCCATGACACCCTGAGAGGGTGGGGGTCACTGGCTTTCGTTTCCGTGGCAAGCCCTATGCGAGTAGGACTTGCTCTCAGCAGCACACGGCAGTGCTAGGTTTTGGGCTCGAAGTCGTTGGAGGCTCTTAACATCATTTGCATGTCTACCTAGAAGAGTCCCAGTGAGTCACTGGCGGCCTGAGGTATTGGTACTGCCTCTTCTGGCGGATTCTGGTTCGGCTCCTCCGCGGCAGTGCAGGGCATGAGGCTGGCAGAGAGTACGAGGCCGGGATCGAATCAAGTTTTCTGAGGCGTGCTGAAGTTTCATGGACCTGGGATTGGCCATAGGGCTCTCGTGTCCAGGAATCTATTGTATATCTAGGCCAGGGCGAAGAAGAAACCTTCGAGATTCTTCGAGCTTCGCCCATGACTTTAGCTGCCAGGGCAGCTCCGACTCGGAGCCCGATGATGGTGCGAAGGCCTGGGTGCTTCGATGCTCGTTGCGAGCGGCATGGTCCAATCATCAGTACAATGCGATGTGCACCAGTTTCATCAAGTTCTTGGTTTTTCCATCTCCGTTCAAGTCCGTCGACATGCAGTCAGATAGTCACGCTCACCCACCCTCGTGTCCAGCGTGCCAAATGTACCTGCTTTCCCTGCAGGCATTGATGCGAAATCTGGTTCAGCGAAATCTCAGCTGTTGTTGTAGACACAAACCTCCACATGATTACCACTGATCATATGGCTTGGTTGTTGTAACGAGAGCATGAAGTTTCGCCACACTGCCTCTGCATGCATCGTTCCTCACACATCTTGCAACAAGTCTATGCAGGCGAACGGCGCGAAGAAGGATTGATGCGAGACCGATGGCCGTGTGCTAGCTTCTGCACGAACAAAGCCACTTTGCAGTGCAGTGCAGGGTTTGAAGAGGCAAAGCAGCCTCGCCGTGTGCAGAGTTTCCCATTTGAGGGGAGCTTTTCTCCCGAACCCTTTCGTTTCCTTTAGGTCTACTGGCAAAAGTCTCCGTATCGGCTGTTCTCAGCACGACATCCTATGTTTGCACAGTAGAGACATCTAAAATCTAAAGACTCAGTCCACGTATGTCTGCGATCAGCCACCATTGCCGACCAAACGCTGCTCGACGCCCAGGGAAAGACTCTGGAAGATCTTGCTCCCGAATCGGGGACATGATTTGATCGTTTTTGAGTCGTCAGAGCAATCCACATAACTTGTTCTTGAGGCAGACTCAGCGCCGATCGTCATCATGGCCACAAACAGAGGGATCACCAACATCAGGGGCACAGACTACAAGAGCCCCCACGGTTGCCTGGCTGTAAGTGGAGTCTCCCCTTCAAGACCGTCGAGACCCTTCAAGAAGCTCCGGATCCTTTTGCAAGCCTGTTTTCATGACTTCAATATCAAAGTCACGCCCCTTTGGTAGCTTGCGAAGTCTGCTGTGCAAGTAGTAGGTGATGAAGCCGCTGTCGCTTGTGCAGGCGGTCCCATGGGGGTTGAATCAGAGGAACTCTCTTGCCAGTGAGCCAGTGAGTGCTTCAGCTGCAGTTTGCTGTGCAGCTCAGGCATCCCCCTAGACTTGCTGGACCGCATGCTGATCATCTCGACTCAGCCGTGCCCTGGCATAAGCCGCGCAGAGTTCCCACCCAACCCACAAGTTCTGCATGACATGCCGCAAAGGTACACGCAGAAAGAGATCCGGAAGATCATTGACATCCGTGCCGAGGACGATTGCGTTCTTGCACTGCTCATAACTGCCCCGGACGGTTCTCACCCCGAAAGCCAGTTGGCAGCCTTACGCCCACTGTAGAAGATGTGGTGTGAACCTGAAGCCCTCAGGCGTGCGAAGTAGATGCAGGCTCTGGCCAACGCGTTATCTGCTTGCTCTGTTCAACGGCTGTTCCGGCTCGAACCTGCAGGTGTAGCTTTAACACAGCGGCGTGTTGGTGTTTGTTCCTGTTATCCCGGTTGTTGCACAGTCAATTTCCGGCTTCCGGCCCCATGCATGGCATAGAGCTTCTAAGTGACAGCATATCCTGTCATTGTGCGCTCGAAGATCTCCGGTGCATGTTTCAAACGCACACAGACCCATTAGCTGGTGGGATGTACTACAGCCGCATTGAAAGGGGCAAAAGCATCTCAACCTCTCAAGTGTCCCCTACACTGCCCCTCTGGCGGTCATCTGTTGGACCGCCATCTTTGTCTCACCCCATCAGAGCCAAGTCCAGATCCCGCCGCGTAGTTGCCCACAGTGCCTCCCTCAGATGGGTGCAAGATGGCGCAAGGCAAAGGTGAAGCGGTGGAGCAACAGATGCCCAGTTCTTGCATGCTGTGGAATGGCTTTCGGCCATTCGTCTTTAGGGGCCTAAGTAGAGGAGGCTGTCTGAGCTACCAAGCCCTGGCTGCAACAGGGTGGGTGCGTCAGAACAGTGGGTCATGTTTGTCATGATTGACTCACTTTGCATGCCTTGATCCGTGGAGCCTAGGTAAGGGAACTCTTCGTAAACAAACAGTTCGGCAATGGTCAAGCCCTCAGAAAGCTTGAGGAAAGGGTTTTCCAGTGCAAATGGACGATATCGGATTGTGGGGGTTGTGCAGTGTCGTTGTCAGGGCAAAAGGGAGCATGGCTCAGTTCTTCTCAACCAACGCGCGAGGCTCCCATCCCATGGTCGGAAGCTGATCCGTTCAGCATTTCCATGTACGCGCAGGCTGCTCCAACTGCACCCCTGTGCCGTTGTTTCGAGTCGCCTGTTGGATGCCACCGTGCCATGTAGCCTCACCGAAGGAGTCAGCATACTGGAGCAGCCTCCAAGAGAACGAGACGCTAATGCGCCTGCTCCTCATGCTTCTGCCAGCATCCCTCTGCATGTGTGACAAGCGGCATTTGAAGAATGTCATCCTATCCTTTGATATCTGCCGTAAGCGATGGTACACAGCATGGTTTTAAAGGCTGTGCGTCCAGGCGCCCCGGCGCACCCCGAAAATCTAGAGAGCATAGTGAAGATGTGTCTCGTTCGGGGCTCGGAATCGAGAGTTTGAGGGGGGCTTCGGGCACTTCGGGCTTGGGGTAGGGTTTGTTTTTTGTTGAGGGGGGTTTCAAGAATTTTCTCTAGAGTTTCCAAAAAGAGGTTTAAGCCTTCGACCGTGCTCTGAGGCGGAGGCCAGCACGCTGAACGTGTGTCGGTCCTTTCATGGCTTTCATGGAGTCAGAAGAGTGTAAGGAGTTTAGGGTGTCTAGACGGGCTTAACAGCCCCGTGTTGTGGCGGCCATTGAGGAAAAACAGGGCTCCTTATTGGAACCTCTCTACTGCCGCGAAGGCAAAAAATGTATATATATATACACACACATATCTATATATATATATATATATATATATATATAGAGTACATGAACAAGGTAACGGAAGAAGCTGCAATTCTGGGAAGAAGGCTCTTTTCTTTATCATGAGGGCTTGGGATCAGCTGCGGTGGAAGCTGAGGTCTTTGCACGGACATGGCAGCGGCTGCGGCCAGGAAGGGCTTTGGGTTCAAGGGGGTCAGGGAGCGTTCAGAAGCTGAAAGTATCAGGGACTGCTGTTCATGTGGTTCCTCGCTCCAACCTCTGTAGAATTTCAGGAGCAACGATGCCGTAGAGGCCCAGGTCGAGCAGCTCTGCAAATTGTGCTGGGCCTCGGCGCTGGAGGTGGCCGCCTGAGCTGAGTTAGATGTGCATGGGGGGAGCAATGAGTGCAACGGGTGCAACATCTTGAAGCTCCAGCATCTCCAGCTTAAGCTGTGGAAGGCTGTGGATTGCCACACGCTCCTTATCGCTGCTCGCGCAGAGGCAGGTTGTTGCCGTGGTGACGGAGACATCTCACCTCAGATGAGCCTTAGTCCTGCGAGTCCTTCCGGGTGGCGAGGTGGACCACTTGAAGCGCCGTCTTTCACGATGCAGCATGGCAAAGACAAAGCAGCTGATCTTCCCTGAGGTGCAGCTTTCTTTTGAATTGTCAAGAATCATTCTAAATTCTACCACAGTCTACGAACAGAAGTTCCGCATTGACAGCCAGTGGCATGGCTGAATGTGCAGGATGAGCTGGGCACCAACAGGCGGGCCCCCCCCCCCCCCCCCCGTGTGTGTATATATACATATATGCATACACATATTTCTGGCTACCGGTCGCTTGCTACTTGTGGCGCACTGCCCACGATGCGCTGTTGCTCCGGTATCCCTGAATGGACCAGGGCCTGCTTCGACGGCCCAAGTCTCATAGACCAGGACAGGGCTCTCAATGCTTTTTAGAGTGTTTGGGAGTTCGTAGGCCCTAACCATGGAAGTGACGAAGGATCAGAGAGATCTTGTCTTCAGCGCTGTCTGGGATGAGCAGCGCGCTTACAGCGTGTGGTGGATCGGCAAGCTCCACCAGCTTGTTCCCTTGGGACACAGCGCCTACGTCGGATGCCACCTAGACGGTGCACAGCGCACGAAGCTGTGGTATGACTTACTGTAGTATGAGCTTTGCTCTGCAGAGCTCCTTTTTCGAGGTTTCGGGACGACGGGCTGCCTCCCCGAGGCTTGGCGGGTAATTGCTATTTTGTTCAAATGGCCTCCAGAGATGAGCTGCACCAGGCATCGACATCCCGGTGATGGCTGAGATCGGCGTGAACACAGAGGTTCGCGATTTTGATGACGTGCTTCCTTCCGCTGTTTTCGTCAAGACCTCCCCATGAATTCTTCTAGATTCTAGTCAAAAATCCGATCAACGGAGCATGGCTTACGGGCTTTCCTTTGCTTCTTGCCGAGCGTGCTTTAGTTCAAGGGGTAAAGAGCCACGCTGGGTCTGATGTGATGCACGAAAATTATGAGGTACAGTAGCTTATGTAGCACTTGGGTCTCGTCCTTTGAGTAAAGTGGCGAACGTGACTGCTATGTTTGGGAAAATGTGGAATTGTGCTTTTCAACATATCAGCCGTCGCCCCTCGCATGGAGGCTGCAGAAGATGTGGCAAGCCTTCGGCAGAGCTGCGAGGAGTGCGCTAGAGTTGTGTCAGGATGGTCCAGCAGCCCGGATTACTAAGGCTCATAAAGGCTCCGTCGGCAAAAATCCCGGTTAGGCGAGCTTGTGCTTGGCAGGAGCTGCAATCACAGCTTGCGACCGTCGAGGCGCACCCAGTCCGTTTGTTTTGCTCTGAAGGGTTTGCGCAGCTAGCCGCAAGCCGCAAGCCGCAAGCTCAAGTCTTCCCTCAACTTCGTGTTTTGATGAAGATCCAAAGCTTTGGCGCTCTGACCTCAGATCTCCCCGTGGAGTAGAGATCGAGAGTCAGGCGGAAGCCGCTCGCCTCCAGGGCGACAGGAGTTCTCTCCTCGCTGCGGCCCCAGGTCGTGTCAGAAGTAAGTTAGTTGCAGCACTGGACCTCAAGTAGGTGAACTCTGGAGTGAGGAAGGGCTCCGTACCTTTGGAGCAAAGAACCCTTCCTGTCCTCAGGATCAGCTCTCCG